CATGGTAACCATTGGGTGCGTGCCTCGATGCCTCACGCACTGGTGCCTCGGATGATGACTATGGCAACTGGCGGCACACCTGCAGCTGCTGCTGTACCATTTGTGACTACATTTGGTTAAACAGGACGGCACCAACAAAAGGAGCGCTGACTGCAAAGTCTGCAGTACCCGAATCAAGGATGCTGGATCCACCACATCACATTTTTTTCTTATTTTGGCTGGTGAGTGCAGCATACAGTACCAGCCACTTGCATGATTTACCAACATCTGAATGGTGTTAATTTTGTGTCCAGCACATGTAGCTAACTATAACTGAGATTGGATGATTAGTTATTATTGCATGACTAATAATGTTAGATTTACAAGATTACAAGATTACTTAATTTGTCACATACAGAAGTCCCGGAGTAACATGCAGTGAAATGTCTCCTGGTTACTCCTAAACTGGCCTTATAAATAGAATAAATAAGATAAATATGAATAACATCAAACTAATATGATGTAATTAATTTTATTTTTTAGAGACTTCAGACTTGACTTGGACTTGCAAAAAAGACTTGTGAACATCTCTGATTCCACCTCACCGTTCTGTAGAAAACACTAAAGAGGGGGCATTGTTGTTCTGCTGTTAATCCGGTAGTGGAGGTAGAAATGAGCTGAACTGATGTCTGTTTAAAATGGGGGGAGCCGATGGACGCAGACACTGCTGTGTTACACGCTATGACTCTTTTGTTTCAGAGTAAAACAGCAAAACCTGCGATGGGTCTTCTTCACTGCAGTATTGTTGGATCTCTTTAAAAAGAGCTAATGTTCAATGTTACCCTGAGGTCGACCACCAAACACACTGAACATCCTAAACCTTCAATATAAAGAAATAAATCATTTTTTAATTCCTTTTTGGCCCTGATGCAACCGACAATCTTTACTCACCGCTTTGCAACAAAATCGCATTGTCATATTCAGCATCCTGCAGCTCAGTCTCTCCGCTGTGGTTGTCTGTGGTTTTGACAAAAAAAAATTACATGAAAATAAATAAGTTAACATTTTCATTAGTCATTGTTTATTTTCCTTTCCTCTGCCTGTCTTGAAGCCTCATCAGCTCTGGCCGATAGAGAAAGTGGGTCTATGTAGCAGTTAAACCAATTGCTAATTTAAGATATGAATGTATGACATCAAATTTATCCAATCAGCGTCCTTAAATTAAATCCAAGAAGGGAGATTATTTTATCGCCCCAAGCTCGCCTCTGATAAAATAAGGACCGGGCTCTAGGGGCGCGAACGTTACTCCTCCAAGACCCAACCCTAACTCGGTGAAATCTCTCCTCCAAGATCCGTCTGAGAGGAGAACTTTGTTGAGAAAGTTGGGGTGAAAGAGCTGGGCCCAGATCAACCTGAGCTCTCAATCAGACAGCAGGCTAGAGAGAAAGGGAAGCAGTATATGGCGGCGGCTTCTCCCGTAGCCGGTACACCGGGAAGGCTTGGATGGCTGGGTGCACTCATGCTTTTTAAAAGGACGGGGACAGATCCAGCATGGACAGTTACCGGAGTGAGGGATAGGAAGCACCTGTCAGAGAAGGTAAAGAAACACAAGAACACCAGGGCACACATGGATAACTCTGTAAAGCTAGCTATATTAGGAAGGATGAACATCACTACGCAGCTGGATGACGACCACAGGATTGATGAGGAAACATCATGAGGAGGTGGATAAAAACAGACACAGTTTATCCAGAATTAGCGACTGTGTGAAGTTTTGTGGGACTTTTGAGTTGGCCTTGCGTGGGCATGACGAGACTGACTCGGACTCCTCGGACAACCCCGCAGTTTCCCGGGCTTGGTGGATTTAGTTGCCTCCATTGACAGTGTGCTGGAGGAGCACCTGAACACAGCTCCCAGCTGAGGGCAGTCAAAGACATACAGAACCAGCTGTTGGACTGCATGCTGTCAGTGCTTAAGGATTACATCCTGGAGGAAGTAAAGAGTGCTGATTTATCGCTGCTGGAGAGGCTCAGCACTATACTATCACATGGACAAAAGGCCAAACTTATTGCCCAGGCTTACGACGGAGCAAGTGTGATGAGGGGAGCCACCGGCGGAGTGCAGCGTAAAATAGTGGATGTGTGCGAAACGAGCACTACGTCCACTGCTATGCACATCAGCTGAACCTCATCATACAGCAGGCTACTTCACGCATCCCCAGGATCGGCACTTTCTCTTCCGACCTTGCAGGATTTTCTGCTTTCTTCTCCAGGTCTCCCAAGCGAACCACCGTGCTTGACCAAGTGGTTGCGCATAGACTCCCCAGAGCCTCTACAACACGGTGGACCTTCCACAGTCGCGCTGTAAACACTGTGTACGAGCACAAGGATGACCTCCTAACGTGTTTCCAGACCATCAGAGACTCTGGGAACTTTGACCCCCCGACTGGCAGAGAGGCTGGGGGCTTTGTGAGGATGCTCGAAGACGAGGCTTTCTGTTTTTTCCTGGCACTGTTCCACAAGATCATGCCAAATGTGGACATGGTTTTCAGCCAGCTGCAGAAGATCATCGACCCTGTCTTCATTAAAGAACTTGTCCAGAGGTTCACAGACAGCATGCTAACGATCAGGTAAATAACTATATTTACTATTGGCTGATAAAGCTGTTGTTAGAAAGATGAATAGCTCACTTCCAACAGTGTAAAAGCCTGAATGTGTCTTGTCATTAAAGTGAGTGATTATCATAGAGCACATCACAATTATATTTGTTTTAGTATTTTAAAAGGAAAGAGAAGACACAATCAGACTTGGAGAATAATGCAGGAAAGTATTACAGAGTTTGTAATAGCAGGCTTATTCAGGTGTCCACCAGGTCAATTTCTAGAAGAGGCCTAGTTGTTATTGAAGATTGAAGATTAACTTTATTGTCATTTAGACTATCACTTACAAAGGACAAGTGCACAGGAGAACAAATGATGTTGCATCCCTCTCACAAATGTAATAGAAAACTGCTAAAAACGTAATAACATAAGTTAATTATGTACATCACAAGTTAAAAGCAGTTACTAGACATATTGTGTGTGTGTATATATATACGATATGTCTAGTAACTGCTTTTAACCTGTGATGTACATAATTAACAGTCAGTCAGTGGATGTGTGTGTGTGTGTGTGTTGAGGGGCGTTACAGTGAGTTAAGAAGTCTGATGGCAAGTTTTCAAATTAAACTTTATTTTTTGGACCCGGGGCCTCCTTTCCCTCTTTGTGTGGGGACAGCGCATCTGACGAGCAGCAGCAGCCCATAAAGCGACGGAGGGTGCTGGGACCAGGAGAACAACAGAGGCTGGCTACAGAGGTAAGTTGTGATGTGATTGAACTTTTTCAGGCCTGGTAGTATGTAGCCAAAACCAAAAACCCTGAACAATCAGCACCTTAGTAATCATATACTTGACTTGGACATAGGCATGTGTTCAGTCAGGATCACTTGCATCAAAATAGCTTTATTGCAAATTAAAGCTGATGATGTATCTTTTACAGGTATGTGATACCATCCTGATTCATGCCAAGGAGAGGTTCTCCTTCACCCAGCACCTCATCAGCGCAACACTGTTGCACGGAAAGTTGTTCCCACAACACAGTGTAAAGTTCCCCGATGCAGCGCTTGAAACAACCGTGGAGGCGTAACCGATGTTGAACAAGGCCAAGCTCAAAACCGAACTGTCCCTCATCTATGAGAACAGTGAGTTCAAGGCTTGTAGTGGTGCAGTGCCTCTGTACCAGTTCTTCATGGAGAACAACCTTCAGAGCACTTTCACAGAGACTGTCAGCCTCCTCAAGATCCTCATCACCACACCCATGACATTAGCTGAGTCAGAAAGGTGCTTCTCTACACTGAAGAGGATCAAGACCTTCCTGAGAAACAGCATGACACAGGATCGCCTGAATGCTCTGGCTATGCTCTCCATGGAGAAGAAACTTGTCAGGGACATTCCTGACTTTAATAAGAGGGTCATTGAGAGGTTTGCCACTCAGAAGGACAGACGGGCAAAATTCCTGTACAAATAAGATGACACACACACACACACACACACACACACACACACACACACACCCCCGCAGCACTGACCACATGTTTCTTTGTATATAGTTGACCTTAGCATAAAGAATCATCCAGTTATATATGGTACTCTAGAAAGTCTTAATAGTGTGTTTGCTAATATTACTGTATATGTGTTTTAGTCAATTGTTTGTTTCTTGTGTTTGTGCAATATGATGTTTATGTTTTTGTGTAAGAATGCCTCAACTAATATTGGCATTAAATAATTACTGACTATTTCACTGAGCACTGGTGTTCTGCAGTTTGTGTTAAATTGTATTGCGATGGTTACGAAAACAGAAATGTATGGCACAGCCCCACCGAGAATATTTTTCACCAGCCGCCACTGTTAGAACCAGAGGCCTCATGTAAATACCAACAGAATGGTTCATATCTGAGAAGACAAACACAAACTGTCAAAGTCTCTGGACCTGATAGTCTCAGTGGATCTGTTATGTTGATGTCTGCACATTATGGAGTTGTTGATACATTATATAAACTTACCTTCATTACGACGTATTATGATGCACTTTGTAGCCACAAGCAAAACCAGAACTGCAGCAAGAATTAAAGCTCCTAAAACTAATCCACCCAACCCTCCAATGAGCTCTTTGCTGGATAATCCCTCAAACAGTTTCTCTGAAACACATCACAAAAAGTTAATGTAACACTCAAACTGTAACTGCAGATCATGTACAGCACACTGCTCATAGACTACACACAACAACAATTAAAGGGGTCTAAAAATATTTGAAAACTAATAAAATCATGAACAATGAAAATGATTTGAAAGAAATCTCACTAGTGATGAACACGTAGGTCTCAGAATGAGTCTGATGGTGGATTTCCTCCTGTGTGACTACACAGCGGTAGTGGTCGGTCTTGGTCACAGTGGTGAGGGAGGGTAACGTAGTAACGTCCTCCTCTGTCTGAGACCTGTGGCTCCTCAGCAGGAAGGATGTTTCCAGCACTGTCCTTCCACTCTACTTTAGGTTGTGGAGAAGCAGCTCGAACTTCACACTGCAGCAGAGCTCCGTCCTCTGTGGCAGTAAGTGTCCTGATGTACGGCTCTGGAGATGCTCCTGTGAACACAATATAAAGAAAAGCTTGTTAAGGACAACTAGTAATGTAATAATGGGATGTTGTTGTATTTATTCCTTCCCTGACTGTGGATATGGAACACATTGTGTTTAAGAGAGAGAACACAGAGAGATAAAAGCTTTAACTTCACACTCCAACATTGTTTGATAGAACGTGAGAAACAGTTTTACCGCTTTTGAGCAATTTGGTGATTATTGACGACTGAAATATTTCTGATATAAGTCTGGACATTAAGAGGTTCTGAAAATATTTTTGGTGTAGATCTAGAAAACAATTTCTATGGCACTGAAGTTGAGCTGAAGAATAAAGTAAAACAATTAATTTTCTGTAGATCATAAAATCAATCGACAACAATTTTCATAACTGATTGTTATGTATCAAACAAATATTCTGGTTCCAGATTCTAAAACATTCATTACTTTCTGCTTTTCTCTGTTCTAAATCTCTGTAAACTGACTATCTTTGGGTTTGGATTGTTGGTTGGATCCTGAGATATTATGAGGGCACTTTCACTGTTTTCAGATTGATAATTTTAGTCATGACCACTTTTGTCAAAATATCTTTTATTCCAAAGCAGAATATTACATTTGGCGGTATGTAGGGTTGGGTCCCGAAACGCGGTACCAATAGGGCACCGGTTCCGACGTAAACGGTAGTAACCAGACGGAATAAGAACGAACATTTCGGTGCCTGACTTTTTTTTTACCGCCCCCGGTGTTCCGGTGTCAACTTGCGTGACGTCAGTGCCGCTACTCAGTACACTTGTTGATCAGAACTGATAGTGAGAGGATCAATGAAGATGCTGAAGGCAAAACGCTCCAAGGTTTGGCTGCATTTCACGTCTAAGGATGCAGACTCTGCGACATGCAACAGATGCCATAAAACAATTGCATGCAAGGGAGGTAACACGTCGAATTTGATGAAACATGGAGTTTATTTAAAGCCGAACAATGCACCGTGTTTGATAACCTACGTGACACAAGGCCAAACACTTCAGCAGCCGCAGCCAGTGTCGGCCTCGCCGGATAAATTGAAGAGACTCCCAGCCCTGCCAGTGTGGTGGTGGACATCACAGATGATGATGATGACGTCAGCCTTTCCTCCTCAGGTAAATCTAGTAATTTAATGCCAACTGTAAAGCATGCATGTCAAGTAGGCTAGCAAACACCGTTGCCATTCAACAGCGTGAGTGACAACGTGTGCTATGTCGTTAACTTAATATTGTGTTCAATTTGGCCCAGGAAATAAAAGGGTATTGTTTTTTGACAAAGTGTGTGTGGTTTTGTTTTTTAAGTACCAGTTCCGTTTAAGCACCGGAACCGTTTAAAAAATACAGAGTAGGCACCGGTATCGGATAAAACCCAACTGATACCCAACCCTAGCGGTATGGCTCTGTTCTGGGACCTCCCTGCCCTTCCATGTGCATACATGGAAAAGTTTAAGACAAGGAGAGCGGCAGCAGAGACCCCAGGGTACAGAACAGAGCAGCATCAATGGCAATCAGAAAATGACATTGATTAATTAGAAACAACATAAAAAGGAGGAGCTGGGGTGGAGGTGGGTGCAAGAGGCTTGTAGAGGAGCAGCAGAGATAGGCAGGCAGGCTAAAGCAGCTTAAATAAGGTGCCATGCATGATGTTTGCCAATTGGATGCTTGAGGAAATCAGGTGAGCTGTCAGCTGACTGTGTATGGTATCCAATGGGAAGCTTAGAGGAATCAGCTGATGTATGTTTATGACTAGCTGTGCTCATATGATATAGCTGTAACTGAAAGCTAAGCCTGACTTCGTGCCTTGCCTGAACTAACGCTATGCTCAATTAATGGAAACACAAAAAATGTTTACTTATGTCAACTCAAATATGAACCAGTTTAATTTTGATCACAAGCTTGTGCAACCACAGAAACGTTTTTTGTAATTAAAAGAAAGTTGAGTTTGAACTCTATTTTTATATTGAGTCCAATCAAACAGCACTGGAGAGCTTGTGGCTCTAGAGGACTAAACCAAAGCCTGATTCAATGACTGAAGTCATCAACTAACTAGCTGCCACCACATATGTCTCCTGCCTCCAGATCAGTCAATAGCTAAATCCAGGCGCACATCTCCCAGCAAAAGAGGCTCTGAAAGGATGTACTGGTTGTCATATCCACATATTTTGGTACAGTTTAAACTTCCTTTTCAAAGTAAGAGAACAGTAATAATCGTTTATTTAACACAACTTCACTTCTCATAGAAGTAAGCCGGCTGAAGGGCAGTATCTTTCTACTGCACTCTCTCTCTTTCTTTCTTTTTTGGGTAAACAAAACCACACACGTGCTTTCTGGTTCCCTCTCTTCACATTTAAGTTTAAATTACATATATACACACGCATATATACAGATTTACATACATATATAGACAAATTCAAATAAATTAAAAAAAAATAATTGTTTTGGGCTACATTGTTAAATATGGGTATAAATGACTGAGAATTAAATCTTAAAGCGTTAAAATTACAACTTTCATTTCACTTGGACTTTAAACATGTAGTAGCACTAGCTGTTTTTCTAAGAGTGGGCCTCTGTTTGACTCCACACAGTTGGTGGTTTCACACTGTGATGATCTACATGTGGTAGTAACGTGTCAGGATATGCAGCAATGCACCATCAGTGCCCCCTTGTGTAATTATCATTAGCTGCACAGGTACCAAGAGGTCAGATTGTTGCTGCCTTAATTTCTACTCCATCAGTCAAACACTGCAAAACTATAATATGATGGGTCAGAGGAAAAGTCTCAAAACTCCTAAAAACTAATGACTAACAAAGAAACAAACCTCCAACACTGACTGCATGAATATTACCAGGTCTTACCTCGACTTCGTGTCGGGCGGTAACCTTCCACCAGGCGGGCATATCAAACTGTTTATTGCCCTGCCTCTCTGTGATTATCCCGTTTATTCTACTTCTTGCTTGCCAACATAATAAAACAATTCAAATACTTTAATAATTATGCTTTTTCTTATTCATATTGCATGTTTATTAAATGTATACTCTGTTTGAGTTCATCTCCCTCAAAAAGTAGTCCCCTTTAGAACTACGGTGAATAACGCTAGCTCCGATAGATTTCCGACACATTTTAGAAACTTTTTTAAACAAGGTTTATTTTTACAATGGACCTCATGTTTGAAATTTATGCGATAGAAAAAAAATACAAGCAGCATATTGATCTACTATTTGATGACGCTGTGCTCAGTCAGCAGGCAATATGCCCCTCCCAGCTAATTAGAATCAAGCGTTCTTAAACGAAGTAGAATAACATAGTTTGTTTACTTTTGTGTTTATTTGGTGTAATACCCTTCTTTGAACATTGGGTGGCAGTCACCTAAACTGGGACTGCATTTATGTAGGAAGGATGATGCAGCCAGGTGTGGTGCATCATGTAAGGCATTGATTTTTAAACCATGGAGGATCATGGCATGTGATTGATCTGAAATTTGGTTAAGCTGTCCGACTGTGTGATTTATTGCTCCATCTGGATGAAAGGAAGTTTGTAAAAATGTGTAGTAAATCTGCAGAGGCACGTCTGGACATTGTAATTGTTGGAGCGTTACACAGCTGATGCCTGCAACACATCAGTTAATGTCACTGTCATGCAGCACCTCTGTTACTTATTGAAAAAGCTGAATTAACTTTGTGATGTGAATGACAAACGTAGATGACATGGCATCATTGATGATATGAAGTTACAGAGGATAATGTTACAGCTTTCAGGGAGCAGCTAAGCTAATGCTACATTAGATTTAAATCAGTCAGTCAGCACATTCAGTGAGGCTCACAGCTGTTGTATAATGTGACTGCATCGTAACTTATCTGATCTGGAGCATCTGGGCCTAATGCTTGATGGATATAAAAGCTCCTGATCCACATGAATACCACTGATATCACAGACAACCACATCTCATATTCTACATTGCGTTGAAGTTATTCTTTGTTATAATAAATATTTGTTACTTTTGAGATGTCTTTCCCATTTTTTGTCGTGGCCTATGAGCCAGGTTATGACACAGTTCCACCATCCTCTCTTACTTTGAATAGTGCCATCAGTGAGGGAAGATGGTAGAGAGTGTAGTTGCACATAACTTCTATCAACATCTTGGCAAACTGCAGATTTTCATTGTAAAATTAAATAATTCATTATTGTCAGTATGACAACTAGTCCTACTTTCAGTGACTTTAATAGTTAATATAAAATAATATTAAGATATTAATCGTTTAATGAAACTCACCAACAACCTGAATGTAGAAGGTTTGTCTTGGTTGAAGATTTGGAATATCACAGGTGTAGGTTCCACTGTCAGATATCTTTGTATCTCTGATCTTTATGGAGGCGTTACCGTTCTTCAGTTGATCAGAAAAATATGAAACTCGACCTTTGAACTGCTGATCTTGACCTGTAAAGCCCTTATTGTAATGATCTCCGGCATCATAATAGAACACATTCTTCTGACCATCTTTCCTCCACTCAAACAGTTTATCTACGATGTTCTCCTTGGAGCTGAGAGAACAGGGTAGAATAACATCACTGCCTTCTTCCACGACCACTGTGACCACAGCTGGACCTGAAAGATGAAACGCATATACAAAAACCTAGTTAGTTAGTAGTGAGATTATTTATGGATATTTTTCATACACGTATAATTTCAGTATATTTATGATTGATTAGATTTTTTTAATGAATTATCTAAATCTACCTATGTAGAACTGAGTGGGATATTGTTACAATTTTAGTATCTAACCATTAAAAATTCTGTTCTGATAACAAAAACATAATGAAAGATGTATTTCAACAAAATAAAAAGAGACAAAAATAAAAAGTGTCCCTTGTGGCCATTCTTTAAAACTATATTCACTCACAGTAAATATTATAAAATATTAAATATTTATAAAACAATAAATACAGGTGGAGCTACATTACTATACTAACACTGAACCTTAATGAAGTGTAGAAACCAGGGAATTATTGAACTGATTGTTTCAGTGTTGTTGTTCTATCAGTGAGGGTTTACAACGTAACACATGGCTCTATCAAAATAAAAGCTTTTACTCTTCTGTACCTTTGTATTATTCACTGAAAAAGGAAACACTGGATTTAAAGACACGTGTGATAGTGACACTGGCAAATAAAACACAGGCAAGTACAGTGCTACTGTGTCTCAGATAGAGAGTTTGTTGCCAGGAATATCAACAAACATTTTTCTAGTCAACTAGTCTAAAAGTAAGAAAATGCTCAATGTTGATGCACCTTTGCTATGTTTAGTACTTGTGCTCGTTGCTGGCTGGATTATTGTCTGCATGTGTAAAATTAAAAATAAAATAATACTTTCCAAAGTCTAAAGTTGGATATATTAATCCATTTATTTCCTAAATTAAAAGAAACAAATCTTTTCCAATAAACTTGTACCAATTAGTGAGCACCTTTAATAGACTTGTGGCCACCAACAGTTAAACACAGAAAATGTCTCTAACACTCAGTAAACAGTCAATATTGAGCACGATTTAAAGACTGTAAAGACAGAAACCGCTCACACACAGCCAGGATTCATACATTACTCTGTTATTTATGTCACTTTATCCTGAAAAATAAAACACAGGCAAGCAGAGTGATACTGTGTCTAATAGACTCAGTTTTACTTTCTGTTCTTCAAACTCCACCAGAGACAATCCACCATTTTGTTCCCAGAGTTCCCAACCATACATATGTATTTTAGTGTATTGAAAATACAAACTACATGTATTTTCTTTTTATTTGACTAACCCTTATTTTTGTATTTATTTATTTAATGTCATTATGTTTGTCCTCTACCACGCGGTTTCTTCTTGTTCTTTAATTAATTTTAAATTTAATTTAATTTAAATCTTTTGCTTGGTCTTTGTGCCTCTCAGCGTCTTAGTACTTGTAAAGTGCTTATATAAATAAAGTTAATATTATTATTATTATTATTATTATTGTGTATTTTATCTTTATATATTTCCCTCTAACAGTAGTTATTCAGTATTTTACTAAATACTGAATACTTAAAACAAGTGTAACAAGATACATTTTGATGTATTTTGTCCATCTTTGGCTAAATCAGTAATTGTAAGAAACATATTTCAATCATTATGATTAATGAAGAGCAATCAGGTTAAAACAGGAAATCAGATTACACATTTCACCTCAATTATTCCGAAACATCAGTTTACAAGCATGTTAGGAAGTGGTGAGATTATTATATAGATATATATATATATATATATATATATATATATATATATATATATATATACAGTGGATATAAAAAGTCTACACACCCCTGTTAAAATGCCAGGTTTTTGTGATGTAAAAAAATGAGACAAAGATAAATCATGTCCAAACTTTTTCCACCTTTAATGTGACCTATAATGTGAACAATTCAATTGAAAAACAAACTGAAATCTTTTAGGTGGAAAAATAAAAAATAGAAAACTTACAATAACCTGGTTGCATAAGTGTGCACACCCTCTTATAACTGGGGATGTGGCTGTATTCAGAATTGACCAATCACATTCAAACTCATGTTAAATAGTAGTCAGTACACACCTGCCATCATTTAAAGTGACTCTGATCAATCCCAAATAAAGTTCAGCTGTTCCAGTAGGACTTTCCTGACATTTTCCCAGTTGCATCTCAGAGCAAAAGCCATGGTCCATAGAGAGCTTCCAAAGCATCAGAGGGATCACATTGTTAAAAGGTATCAGTCAGGAGAAGGGTAGAAAATAATTTCCAAGGCATTAGATAAACCATGGAGCACAGTGAAGTCATCATCAAGTGGAGAAAATATGGCACAACAGTGACCTTACCAAGAACTGGACGCCACTCCAAAATTGATGAAAAGACGAGAAGAAAACTGGTCAGGGAGACTTCCAAGAGGCCTACAGCAACATTAAAGGAGCTGCAGCATATTTCTGGCAAGTACTGACTGTGTACTACATGTGACAACAGTCTCCTGTATTCTTCCTACGTTTGGACTATGGGGCAGGGTGGTGAGACGGAAACCTTTTCTTTCAAAGATAAACATCCAAGCCCGGCGGAAGTCTCCCAAAAGCATGTGGGAAAATGTGTTATGGTCTGATGAAACTAAGGTTGAACTTTCTGGCCATAATTCCAAACGGTATGTTTGGCACAAAAACAACACTGCACATCATCCAAAGAACACCATACCCACAGTGAAGCATGGTGGTGGCAACATCAGGATTTGGGGCTGTTTTTCTTCAGCTGGAACCGGGGCCTTAATCAAGGTGGAAGGAATTATGAACAGTTCTAAATATCAGTCAATTTTGGCACAAAACCTTCAGGCTTCCGTTAGAAAGCTGAAGCTGAAGATGAAGAGGAATTTCACCTTTCAGCACGACAACAACCCAAAACATAAATCAAAATCAACAAAAGCATGGCTTCACCAGAAGAATATCATTGTTTTGGAATGGCCCAGCCAGACCCCAGACCTGAATCCCATTGAACATCTGTGGGATGATGTGAAGAGGGCTGTACACAGTCGATGCCCTCGCAATCTGACAGATTTGGAGCGCTTTTGTAAAGAAGAGTGGGCAAATATTGCCCAGTCAAGATGTGCCATGCTAATTGACTCCTACCTAAAAAGACTGAGTGCTGTAATAAAATCAAAAGGTGCTTCAACAAAGTATTAGTTTAAGAGTGTGCACACTTATGCAACCAGGTTATTGTAAGTTTTTTTATTTTTCCCCCTAAAAGATTTCAGTTTGTTTTTCAATTGAATTGTTCACATTATAGGTGGAAAAGGTTTGGACATGATTTATTATTGCCTTTTTTTTTTTTACATCACAAAAATCTGGCATTTTAACAGGGGTGTGTAGACTTTTTATATCCACTGTGTGTGTGTGTGTGTGTGTGTGTGTGTGTGTGTGTGTGCTTACTTCCTTCCTACTGGCATTATTAAGTTTAATTAAAGGAATGCTTCAGAGGTTGGGCTGTATGATATCTGTTTATTGTAGGTAGGTAACACATTGACTGATACTGCCAGAGTCATCAAGATATAAGAATCACGACTGAAGTTCAAATGACACAAAATGGACGATGTTTTAGAGCTCCTCCTAAATGATCGTGTCCTTGTCAGCGGAGCCCAGCTCCACTTAGCTCCCCCATAATTTGAACCATGCATCCAACCCCACTTTAAAAAACACAAACTATCCCTTTAACTTGAAATAAAATACCTCAAGTCACATGACACAGCCCTCATGGGAGACTGAAAGCAGATCACACAAGGGTTCATGTTGTGTTTAAATCTGTTCCTGTAATCCACAGACCACTGAAAATGACAATCAGGATAATAATGCTTTTGTATATTGCTTTTTTAAAATTTATATTCAATTACAGTATTGAATATTATATATAATATACTGAATATTACGTTGTAAACTCTGTTTATAAAGTTATTATAATAAATGTTATCTTGATACATTTTCTGGCACCAGTATTTAGCATTTTGTGTAATACACTCATTTGTGTATTCTGTAACAAGATACATTCTGATGTATTTTATTATTTCTCTGGCTGTATGTGGAGGGTGAGGTGTCAGTAATTTTAAGATCACACTGTTCTCATTATCTTTATCTCAGGATTAAGCTCATTAGCTATGAATTGAAGTATTTTCGCTATCATTAGATAAATAGAGGAATTTTAACTTTAACAGCTCCATATGCAGATAAAAAACAACATACATTAACTACAACATACATATATAATCTGTCTTTCTTACCGTTTCCATGTCCAACTTTTATTGCAGGCAGCAGCCAGAGACACAGGATCATAAACTGGGCTGTGTACAACATTCCTCTGAGCGGTCCTGAACTAACATTAACTCAAATAGTAAGACTTCACCTGTTAACTCACGAGGCGGTTCAATTAGCTATCAATTCATTAACAAATCAAAATCAAATCCTCTGTTAGAGACAGCAGGGGATTACACTGCGGTCAAGCCAGCCGTGACTCCGATCTCCGTGGTCAAATCAGCCGCACAATTTCGAGTGTATATATAAGTGTTATATTCTCAGCATTATGGTAAATACGGAGAAATAGCGTATTCACTTCCGGTTTTCAAAATAATGGTATTAAGAACAGTGAGCTATATATCGAACCTACATTTAAAATAAAATATATGACATTTCATGCGCCAATGATGAATAAAAACACTTTATATCAAGTATCTTTACTGCACTAATGTGGAGAAATGCCAAAATAAAAGTCCATATTTGTACCTCCAAGTGGCATATTATATTTGAGGTACTGTAAAAACACTTGTTCAATATTTCCAGGCTATGGGTGATGCTTTTTCATTATACTTCAAGAATGATGCAGTAATCATGACAAAATTTCACTCCAATGTTTAACAATAAGTTATAAGAAAGTGAAACACCCACAGACACACAGACACATCAAAGATTCAAACAAGAAGAGACTGACACACAGGGGAAGGGTAAAGACAGGAGAACATTGAGAAATGCATCCTTATAATCATGGCTGCAACACATGACAATGGCAATACAGAATTTTATTTTAATGAATAATAAATTAGAATTGAGTAGGATTTTGCGTTTAGTTTTTGATGACTTTATCATCACTTTCTTATAACATGTTATTAAACATTTGTGTGGAATTTTGTCATGATTACTGCATCATTCTTGAAGTATAATAAAAAAGCATCACCTATAGCCAGGAATTATTAAGCAGTGTGTTTTTACAGTACCTCAAATATAAGAAAATATGCCACTTGGAGGTACAAATATGGGACTTTTATTTTGACATTTCTCCACTGCAGCAAGGACTCAGCCTCAGTACATGGGTCGCCAGCTCTACCCACTGAGCTATCCAGGCCAAGATACTTGATATTAAGTATGTTTTTTATTCATCATGGGCGCATGAAACACTTTAATGTAATATGTTTTATTATAAATGTAGGTTCTAATTATAGCTTACTGTTCTTGATACCTTTATTTTGAAAACCGGAAATGAATACGATGTTTCTCCGCATTTACCGTAATGCTGAGAATACTTGTACACTCGAAATTTAAGTGCGGCTGATTTGACCACGGAGATCAATTCAATGCAGTTCAATTAAATTTTATTTGTATAGCGCCAATTCATTACAGAAGTTATCTCAGGACACTTTTCAAATAGAGCAGGTCTAGACCGAACTCTTTAACATTAATTACAGAGACCCAACAGTACCACCATGAGCAAGACCTTGGAGACAAGGGCAAGGAAAAACTGCCTGTTAAAAGGCAGAAACCTAGGACAGATCCTCCGGCTCTAGGTGGGTGGTCGTCTGTCTCGACTAGTTGGGGTGAGAGAGAGAGAGAGACAGACAGACAGACAGACAGACAGGTGCACAGCAACAACAGCAGCAACAACTACACTAATAGTAGATGATGACGACGACAACAACAGCAATGATGGGGGACAACAAGCAGTGACAATAGTAAGAATAGTAGCTGTAGTAATAATAATATTAATAACAATATCAGTGATATTAGCAATGGCAATCTAGCAGGACCATGGCAGGAGGCTCCACCAGGATCCATGAGAACCTGCGAGACGAGAAAGCACAAGAACTCCGGGGAAGAAGTGAAGTTAGTAACATGCATTAATGGAACATGAATGAGTGCAGAAAGAGAGAGGAAGGGAGTAGCTCAGTGCACCATGGGAAATCCCCCGATAGTCTAGGCCTATAGCAGCATAACTAAGGGATGGTTCAGGACTCACCTGATCCAGCCCTAACTATAAGCTTTATCAAAGAGGAATGTCTTAAGCCTACTCTTGAATGTGGTGAGGGTGTCTGCCTCCAGAACCACAACTGGAAGCTGGTTCCACAGGAGAGGAGCTTGGTAACTGAAGGCTCTGGCTCCTGTTCTACTTTTAGAGACTATAGGAACCACAAGTAGCCCAGCATTTAGAGAACGTAGTGTTCTAGTGGGGTAATAGGGTACTATGAGCTCTTTAAGATATGAAGGGGCCTGACCATGAAGAGCTTTATAGGTGAGGAGGAGGATTTTAAATTCTATTCTACATTTTACCGGGAGCCAGTGGGAATTGTTGTTGTGGTTGTGGTTAAATTACATGTCCTGATCAAAGATAACTCCAAGATTCCTGACAGTGGTGCTAGAGGCCAAGTTAATGCCATCTAGAGTAACTATATCTTTAGACAGTGAGTCTCTAAGGTTTTTGGGGCCAAGAACAAGAATTTCGTTTTTTTCTGAGTTTAACATCAGAAAATTGCAGCTCATCCAGGATTTTATGTCCTTAAGACATGTTTGTTATTTAGATAATTGATTAATTTAATCGGGCTTGATCGATAGATATAACTGCGTATCATCTGCATAACAGTGAAAGTTAATGGAGTGATTCCTAAAAATGTTGCCTAAAGGGAGCATATATAAAGTAAATAGTATTGGTCCAAGTACAGAACCTTGTGGAACTCCATGACTAACTGTAGTATTTATTGAAGATTCATCGTTAACATGTACAAACTGCGAGCAATCTGATAAATATGACTTAAACCAGCTTAGTGCGGTTCCTTTAATGCCAATTTGATGCTCAAGTCTCTGTAAAAGAATACCATGGTCAATGGTGTCAAATGCAGCACTAAGATCTAATAATACAAGTACAGATAGACACAAATAGAAGTCCATTGTCTGAAGCAATCAGAAGGTCATTATTAACTTTAACCAGAGCTGTCTCTGTGCTATGATGAACTCTAAATCCTGACTGAAAATCCTCAAATAAACTATTGTTATGTAGAAAGTCACACAACTCTTTGGCGACTACTTTCTCCACAATCTTAGAGAGGAAGGGGAGGTTAGAAATCGGTCTATAGTTGGCTAAAACCCCTGGGTCAAGAGTGGACTTTTTAAGAAGGGGTTTAATTACAGCTACTTTAAAGGACTGTGGTACATATCCTGATAATAAAGAAAGATTAATCATATCCAGTAAAGAAGTGCCAATTAAGGGAACAACTTCTTTAAGCAGCCTAGTTGGGATCGGGTCTAATAGACAGGTTGATGGCTTCGATGAAGAAATGATTGAAGTTAACTGATGAAGATCGATAGCAGAACAACAGTCTAAATATATATCTAAGTTTACATTGACAGAAGTCCCTGAACTTGGAGAGCCACTGATAACTGTTGATGGCAGTTGGTGATTAATTTTCTCTCTAATAGTAATAATTTTATTATGGAAGAAGCTCATGAAGTCATTGCTACTTAAGTTTATGGGGATATGTGGCTCAATAGAGCTGTGACTCTCTGTCAGCCTGGCTACAGTGCTGAAGAGGAACCTAGGGTTATTCTTATTTTCTTCTATTAGTGCTGAGTAATAGGCTCCTCTGGCATTACGGAGGGCCTTTCTATAAGTTTTAAGATTATCTTGCCAAATTGAGCGATTTTGATAATTTAGAAGAGCGCCATTTCCTTTCCAACTTCCTTGTTATTTGCTTCAATTGGCGGGTTTGGTGGTTGTACCACGGTGCTAGTCTCCTATGTTTTCGGAGTCGGAGTCACGGCTGGCTTGACAGCAGCAGGGGATCTCCATGGTCAAATCATGTTGAGGTAGGCTATTCTCCACGGAGATCTGAGCGACTTCTGGCCATAAACTTATTCAAGTCACAAAACACCTCTCAGCCCCAAACACACCCTAGACTAAGACACTATACACACCATTTTCAGATTAAAAGCATAACGCTATAAATGTATTTTGAATGCTTTGAAACCAGCAGAGACAGTGAGTCCTTAAAGTCTCTTCGGTCTGTGGTTGTTGTGTTATGTTTAATAGTTATATATGTGCATCTCAATGTACATACACAGACAACGAAACAGACATAAACTATTATTTACAGTTTTATATAAATAAACAAACAAAAACAATAACATTTGTAGACAGTAGACAATAGTGCAGTGGTGAAAAACAGGTATAGACTGGGTGGTGGATCATTGTATGCTATTTAAAACAGCACAGTGTTCATCAGACTGCTCATTTCTTATTGTGACTGCTACAGTACAGCAGGTCATACACACAGGACAACCTGTTAGACCACAGCATTGTGAGAAAGCACACTGCAGTCAGTCTTAGTCAGTCATAATGTACTGTAAACCTTCTTAACATGTTTATTAAAGGGGATTCAGACATTCATTTAATTATTGACTTTATTATTATCTGATATCCACTTTGATATGTCCAAATGTATTCCTGGGAGAGAAAGAAGAAGTTTATTGTGACATTTTGAACACTACAGGGTTAATATCTGATTGACAGCCACAATGTCAGAGAAGAACACTTTATTATACACAGGTGTAGATTTTCAACTTGAGACAGACTCTCCATCAACTGTTCATTGCAGCCCTGATCTGACATTACACTGAACTGGAGTGATGATTAAATACCAAGTCACTTTGGAGGTCTTTAAAACCCAAATCTTTAAGTGCTTTTATTTTGAAGGTGTGTGAAACCGAAAGTGTTGTAACGCTGAGAGGCCTCATCTGGTCCGTGGGAAAAGATCTGCTTTTAGAGAATTGAGACGTCCTTTCCTCTGCAGCGTCCTCTGAAACATCTGTTTCTGTCTGTCTGCACACATGTGAACTAGTGATGCGCGGGTCGGGGTTTTTACAACCCGCGTGTCCCGCATTTATTTAATAATCTGACCCGCTCCATCCCGCCCCGCACAACCGCATCTATTTTCACAACCCTTTTGTGACGTCAGGTCGCAGGTGGATTTACCCAACAGTGTTGTTAAGAAGTAGGCTGTATTGGACATATTTAATCCTTAATGACCCGCCCCGCCAATAAAGTTAACATTTCTTGTCCCACGCATCACTAATGTGAACGGTACTAACATCAATAAAGACAAACAGACCGAGTTCTCAGAGCCTTTCTCTGCGGAAGTCTTCTCATTGTTCACACAGACTCACTGTCATTACTTCCTGGTACACCTGAACAGAACAGAGCCTGTTATCAGTAACAGCTGAGCTTTTATGATAAGTGGACATGTTCAGAAGGTTTACAGTACATTATTACTGACTTACTTTCAATAAGACTGAAGGGTGTTTGCTCACAACGCTGTGGTCTAAACAGGTTGTTCTTCAGCCTTCAGCCTTTAATGCAATCACAATAATAAAGTCTGATGTTTAAAATAGCACAAAATGATCCACCATCCAGTCTACTTTCTGGTTTCCCATCCAGGGTTGAAGGATGCTGGAGCCTGTCCCATCAGGACCTGCTTACACTGACTGAAGGACAGTTAATGAAAGAGTGAACATATCAAAGATAACACAACAGTCACAGACCGAAGAGACAGAAACTCTTCACACATTTTCTGAGCACTTTAAGGACTTACCGTCTCTGCTGTTTTTTTATCTTTATATATGTACAGTTATACATATATGCACCAGAGACTCTCCACCTCTAAACATCTCACATGGTCACATAGTATAAGTAGTTCAAATTATTATTATCCTTCATGGTTTGGTAAAGTGGCAGCACCACGCAGACGCCTGTGGATGGAGGTCCAGGTCTCCAGGGTTGCAGAGCTCTCTGGAGGGTTCAGCTCTGGTTGGAGGTTTGTAGCAGCTGATGATGTCGGGGAATAAGATCGTAATAAATGATATTACGTTATGCAATCGTTGCTACTCTAACTGTGGTGGTAACATTATCCACTGATGTCTTCAATAGTAACCTTGTTCCATTATTATTAAATATCATTATTCAGTGTTTCTGAAGGAGTAAAGTGTAAAGGTGATCCAGTACAGTTTAAATTCATGTTTAATATGGGACATTATTATCAGCTGCTACAAGGTTTCAAACAGGTGGGAACATTATATTTTGTATTAATCAAATGTTTCTATTTCACAGCGTGATTACCTCGTCACTGAACACTCGACCTTTGACCCTTCCTGGGTGTCGTCATTACGGGTTAACAGCCAGTATTTAGCAGCCGCTGAGGCCACAAATGGACGTTAATGCTGTAAATGACATTAATTGTACCAATATGAGACGTGTTGGACGCTTTGACATCAGCTGTTTTTACTGTTCTGAACCTGTCCAACAATCAGCAGCAGAGTCCTCTCGTGGATTGTGTCCGCAGCGGTTTGTTCTGGTGGTCAATCCGTCAACACTGCTGCTGCTGGATGAACAGAAGAGAGGTGATCCCACAGTTTGGGTTGTGAGTGGAGGTTTTGGACCTGAAAGGACATCGGCACACAGTTATTGTGCCATTTACCACCTGAAGTCGCGCTGTTTAAAAGTGTTTGATGCCACTGCAGCTTTCAGAGCGTCTCCAGTTTTACAATAGATTATATTGTCTATGAATCTGTTTTTCAATGGTTGTAAATGATTAATGAGTCAGTTAATAAGTTCTACTTTCATAATAAAACACTCTTCTCCCTTCTTGTAACTCTCGTCTCACAACGACTCATACTTCAGTTCTTTCCCTCCACATATATACAAACAGACTGCTGGAACAATAATGTGTCTTTTAATGTCCACATTAATCCACAGTGCAGAGGAAGAGGAGGAGGAGGATGTGTCTGTTGTTAATATGGACATGATGGTAATCAGGAACGCATCGTTTTTAAGCGATACATTGACTATTGATTAAATATTGAATCTAAATGTTGATTAGCTGGACATCCTGAGCAATATGGATGCAGATCTCGCAGTAAATAATAACCAAGTATTCAGTCAATCCGCAGTATAAATAGTATTCACTGTTCCAGTTTGAATGCAGACATTTTGAGGACTTTGGCTGAGGGCCCCAGGAAGGTTAGGACCGGCTCTGAAAGTATCCGAGTACCAAAGGAAGTGATTCTCAACCACAGTCCACACAAATATCTACTTAATTCAGGTTATTAAATAAAGTGTAAATGTTAAATCCAGTTGGTTTGTGTTCAAAGAGTCTTTAGTAAGACTTTAAGTATCAAAAACAGCTGCTGCAGCAGATCAATAACCACTCTGATTTCCTTCAAAATAAAAGCATCCAGTCATCCATCAGGAAAGTTTGTTTTATTCAAACGATTGGAGACAAAAGTTTAAACATGATGATTGTAATGTCTCATTATTATTTAGGACACTTTAATGTCCACAGTAGAAACAGGAAGTGATGGTAGACAGATGTAGAGTTTGTAGCAGTGTGCTGTCGCTACGTCACCAGCTAACTAGCTGCTCCAATAACAAAGAACCACATGAGGAAGAAAAGACAACTTAACAACATTAACTCACTGATTGGAAGAATATCTCATCAACAAGGAAACTTTCAGTGCAAATTAACAGACCTAAATATTAAACACACATTACAGTGAACAACACAACAAGGCACATACAAGGATAACTCTAGTTTATAATAAAATATAAGTTATACTGACTCATCTTCACTGCACATTATTACAGCATTAATGAGATTTAATGATTAATCACACATTGGTTCTAGAAGATTTGTGCTCGGTACCATAATTAAAAGAATGTAAAACATTTTAACTCTTATAAACAGTAAAAATAAATTCAATAAAATATTTACGAGCTGCAGTTGAGCTGGACGACTCATGACAATAAAATATTTACCTAATATTATGAACTGAAACCAGAGTTTAACTCTTTAACTGATTCCTTCAGTGAGGAATCTCATTGACACCTGAGAAATTCATTTGTTTCCATCTCTTCTCATCTGGACGATTTACAATCCTCTTTTCTCAACCTTCCTATGAGTTGTAGCATTAAAGCTTTAAGACACAACATAGTTAAGCTACAAGTTACATTACACACACATTATACACTGCTCATAAGAATTAAGGGAACACTTCACAGTATAACAACTTCAGGGATATCAATCTATCAAGTTAGGAAGGATAAGTGATTGTGAATCCATTTGACCTGTTTTGGTGCAAATAAAAGTGACAACGAAAGAGGCAACAGCAAGACAACCCCAGAAAGGAATGAGTCTTACAGGTGACCACAGACAATAGCTCTCTCCTTATCCTTCCTGACTGATTCTTCTCTAGTTTTGCATTTTGTGAGTGTCCCTGTCACTACTGGTAGCATGAGGCGGTACCTGCCCTGATCCAGGTCTGTGAGGAGACCCCCCCTCCAGGAGCATGCCCAGATGTTGTCAGGAGTGCATACAGGCACGTGGGGGCCACACACACTACTGAGTCCCATTATGAGTTGCTGTGATGAAATTTATGCCAGATTTGGATCAGCCAGTGATTTCATAATTTAAACTTTGATTTTCGGTGTGATTTTGAATCCAGACCTCATCGGTTGGTGGTTTTGGTTTCTATTGAACGCTGTTACATTATTTTGTTCAGTACAGTAAAGATTGTGAACTTGAATATTTCGTTTATCGGATCTGATGTGTGATTTAAGTGTTCCCTTCATTATTTTGAGCAGTGTAGATTCAGGGATCTGTTGTTCTGACAGCAGCCACCAGAGGATCAAACAGCTAACTTCTTTTGCTCTGAAGAACCGTTAGAAGAACTGTAGCCTGTACTGTAACCGTTAGAAAGACAGGATCCAAGAACTCGATCTTGTCCCAGCAGAGGAGAACCTGCAGAGAACAAAAGAACAGTATATATTACATAAAGTCAACTTTCATTTTACACAGAAAAGATTTTGTTGTCCCTCACAGACAGATTGGGTGTGGACTCCATCACCTCACTCAGTGCTTAGAACAGATAAAGCAGCTGATGAACGGAGAGAAATCCTCAGAGCAGAATAAACTTTAAGCAGAAATAAAACAAGTTCTACCATCTGGAAATACAGTATTTTGCTCACAAACCAGACGACATAAAACAAGCACGAATATGAACCCAGCTTCACCTTGAAGCTGATGTTGAACCACAAACTCTACATTAAATATATTCAGTCACTGCAAGAACTAAATAAACATCAGATAACATCCTGTCCTCATCCTCAGATTATCTTTTTCCCCAATTCCTGATTAAATAAATTAAAATATGTAACTTTGGCCCTGATACAACTGCCTCTCTCTGTCTGTACTCACCGTTCTGTAGCTTCACGGGCTCTTCATTCTCTCTCTGCTGGAGCTCTGTGACAAAAAAATTATATGGAAAAAATAACGGTCATTTGTTTTTAACATTTTCATAAATACTTATTCACCTGTAAGTGATTTTTACAATTTCAAATTGACCTGGTGCCTTTTCTTTTCTTTTTTTTTTTAGATAATGTTGAAAACATAATTTAGTTCTCTGATGTTGGGACAGATGCTGCCTCCCTAAAAGATTTAAATGTTTGTATCATTGTTCAGAGATTATTAGTTTACAGATGATGAGATTATTAGTTTACAGATGATGAGATTATTAGTTTACAGATGATGAGATTATTAGTTTACAGATGAGATTATTAGTTTACAGATGGTGAGATTATTAGTTTACAGATGAGATTATTAGTCTGCAGATGGTGAGATTATTAGTTTACAGATGAGATTATTAGTTTACAGATGATGAGATTATTAGTTTACAGATGAGATTATTAGTTTGCAGATGAGATTATTAGTTTACAGATGAGATTATTAGTTTGCAGATGGTGAGATTATTAGTTTACAGATGAGATTATTAGTTTACAGATGAGATTATTAGTTTACAGATGAGATTATTAGTTTGCAGATGATGAGATTATTAGTTTACAGATGATGAGATTATTAGTTTTACAGATGTTGAGGTTATTAGTTTTACAGATGTTGAGGTTATTAGTTTTACAGATGATAAGATTATTAGTTTACAGATGAGATTATTAGTTTACAGATGACTCTCAGCAGCCTCTTTTATACGGTGTGTTCAAGGTGAGAATGTTTCTGTTATTCCACCTCACCGTTCTGTAGAAAACACTAAAGAGGGGGCATTGTTGTTCTGCTGTTAATCCGGTAGTGGAGGTAGAAATGAGCTGAACTGATGTCTGTTTAAAATGGGGGAGCCGATGGACGCAGACGCTGCTGTGTTACACGCTATGACTCTTTTGTTTCAGAGTAAAACAGCAAAACCTGCGATGGGTCTTCTTCACTGCAGTATTGTTGGATCTCTTTAAAAAGAGCTAATGTTTAATGTTACCCTGAGGTCGACCACCGAACACACTGAACATCCTAAACCTTCAATATAAAGAAATAAATCATTTTTTAATTCCTATATTGGCCCTTTAATCACTGTGCAAACTTCCCTGCTCTGCTGTGTACAGGAAGAACCGATCGCAACCGGAAGGACCCGAGTTGTCCCGAAGGAACGTCAGAACCGTCCCGACCTGTCGAGTGCTGCACACCTCCTTCTCTGTTACGACAGCGTTGAGCAGAGCCAAATAACTTGTGTCCGTTGTGCGTGAGTGCAGAGTCAGTTTATATTCACTGTTTATTGTTATGTGAGCCGCTATGTTGTAAAAGTACTGACGCACACACAGGTTTTGTACATTACCAGAGTCCGGTTAATATGTTCGAATTCCCTTATATATATATATATATATATATATCTAGACATATAATATTGTTTGTGTGTTTAATATTGCGGACGGGCTCTGCACCCGACGATATTTACGTTTATTACAGTTGCTGTGTATAACATTGTAAAGTCATATTGCTTTATTTCGTTAACATAATAATATATTTGCTGTTTATTTATTTGTATAATTCAGGAAACCACAACAAGACACATCCTGTACGTTGTTCATGTGAGGAATTAATAAAGAAGGAAAACATAATTCTCTGGAGTAGCTGCAGTTTTTCTTACCAGTAACTAAGGTCAGACTGTGTACGCCAGCATCCAAAATATAATCTACACTCACCACTTAGCCTGAAACTCTCCTTCTCATTTAGAGTGTTCTGCAGATCAGTCTCTCTCCAGCGGCGCTCTGTGGTTTTGACAAAAAAATGACATGAAAATAAATAACAGTTATTATTTTTACATTTTCATTAATCATTGTTGTAGACCTAAAGTGATTCTATAATAATTCAATAATAAACATCTCAGTGAAACTCAGTGTACAGCCAAATGAAGCACTTTGACTCTTCAAACTTTACTGTTAACAATGAGCATTGTGACCAATCACAGCTGTGAATCACAGAGCGACACTTTATTCAACTCCATCTAAATTAATCACTCACTTTAAGCTTTATGTTCTCAAACTATAAAAGATCATAAAATAGTTCAATAATATAGTTTTGCTCAGTTTTGCTATATTTGGTCTTTTTAAATCAATAAATGAATAAATTAATTCATTATAAATATGGCTGCTGGTTTAATGTTATATCAAATATCACTTAATCCACTAATGTCAGCAATATAAATAAGCAAGAAGTACTTGAAGCACTGAGCTGTCAATCAGAATGATCACTTGGTAGTTTAGGAGTCCAACCTCTGGTAAGAACAGATAAAGCAGCTGATGAACGGAGAGAAATCCTCAGAGCAGAATAAACTTTAAGCAGAAATAAAACAAGTTCTACCATCTGGAAATACAGTATTTTGCTCACAAACCAGACGACATAAAACAAGCACAAATATGAACCCAGCTTCACCTTGAAGCTGATGTTGAACCACAAACTCTACATTAAATATATTCACTCACTGCAAGAACTAAATAAACATCAAATAACATCCTGTCCTCATCCTCAGATTATCTTCTTCCCCAATTCCTGATAAAATAAATTAGAATATGTAACTTTGGTCCTGATACAACTGCCTCTCTCTCGTTCTGTACTCATTGTTCTGTAGCTGTCTGTCAGTCTCTCTCTGTCTCTCTGTGGTTTTGAAGAAAAGAAAATAAGGAAGTGAGTAACATTTTCATTAATCATTGTTGTAGACCGAAAGTGATTCTTACATTTTCCAATTGACCCGGTGCCTTTTCTATTTTTGTTTTAAATAAAAAAAATTTTTTATTTGTTAACTTCAGACAGTTGTGATGACCCCCTCCCCCTCTGGTTGGTCTGTGTATTTTTATCTTGTGTTCTTGTGTCAGTCTCTCTCTGGTGGAGCTCTGTGACAAAAAAATGATTTGGAAATAAATAACGGTTAATTGTTTTTAACATTTTCATTAATCATTGTTCACCTGTAAGTGATTCTACATTTTCCAATTGACCTGGTGCCTTTTCTTTTTTCTAAGATAATGTTGAAAACATAATTTAGTTCTCTGATGTTGGACACATGCTGCCTCCCAAATAGATTTAAATGTTTGTATAATTTTTCAGAGATTATTAGATTACAGATGAGATTATTAGTTGACAGGTGATGAGATTATTAGTTGACAGGTGATGAGATTATTAGTTTACAGATGAGATTATTAGTTTACAGATGATGAGATTATTAGTTGACAGGTGATGAGATTATTAGTTGACAGATGATGAGATTATTAGTTTAAAGATGATGAGATTATTAGTTTGCAGATGATAAGATTATTAGTTTACAGATGACTCTCAGCAGTCTCTTTTATACGGTGTGTTCAAGGTGAGAATGTTGCACTTAAATTGCACACACAGAGACTTCAGACTTGACTCGGACTCGTGTTTTGGGACTCGTGAACAATCATTATGTTTTCTTTTTCGGCGTATTAATAGTGAGGAAACTCTGAAACGTCTGACGAGCGTAATGTGATTCCTTCCTTTTTTTCATGGTAACCATGGTAACCATGGTAACCATTGGGTGCGTGCCTCGCGGCCTCACGCACTGGTGCCTCGGATGATGACTATGGCAACTGGCGGCACACCTGCAGCTGCTGCTGTACCATTTGTGATTACATTTGGTTAAACAGGACGGCACCAACAAAAGGAGCGCTGACTGCAAAGTCTGCAGTACCCGAATCAAGGACGCTGGATCCACCACATCACATTTTTTCTTATTTTGGCTGGTGAGTGCAGCATACAGTACCAGCCACTTGCATGATTTACCAACATCTGAATGGTGTTAATTTTGTGTCCAGCACATGTAGCTAACTATAACTGAGATTGGATGATTAGTTATTATTGCATGACTAATAATGTTAGATTTACAAGATTACTTTATTTGTCACATACAGAAGTTCCAGAGTAACATGCAGTGAAATGTCTCCTGGTTACTCCTAAACTGGCCTTATAAATAGAATAAATAAGATAAATATGAATAACATCAAACTAATATGATGTAATTAATTTTATTTTTTAGAGACTTCAGACTTGACTTGGACTTGCAAAAAAAGACTTGTGAACATCTCTGATTCCACCTCACCGTTCTGTAGAAAACACTAAAGAGGGGGCATTGTTGTTCTGCTGTTAATCCGGTAGTGGAGGTAGAAATGAGCTGAACTGATGTCTGTTTAAAATGGGGGAGCCGATGGACGCAGACGCTGCTGTGTTACACGCTATGACTCTTTTGTTTTAGAGTAAAAAAGCAAAACCTGCGATGGGTCTTCTTCACTGCAGTATTGTTGGATCTCTTTAAAAAGAGCTAATGTTCAATGTTACCCTGAGGTCGACCACCAAACACACTGAACATCCTAAACCTTCAATATAAAGAAATAAATCATTCTTTAATTCCTATTTTGGCCCTGATGCAACCGCCAATCTTTACTCATTGC